GGGTGTGGGCTGGTGATGGTGGTAGAATGGGTGTGGGCTGGTGATAGTGGTAGAACGGACGTGGGCTGATGATGGTGGTAGAACGGGTGTGGGCTGGTGATGGTGGTAGAAGGGGTGTGGGCTGGTGATGGAGTAGAAATATTGGGTGTTTTGGGGACACATGTACCTGTTCCGTCACTGGACTCTGTACACACATTCTTTGGCACGGGTTGGGGAATAAGATGTTTGTCCAGTGGAGTGCCTTCTCCTAGTGGTGGGAGTGGCAGCTGTCTGCGACTGAAAAATACAACAGCTTTCTACTTAATCTCAAAACTTAACTTGTTTTAAAAAACATACAACATATTTGAAATATGTAGTCAAGCTGGTACAAGAAGGTGTTGCATAGACAGGGAAAATCGCTCACCGAAAGATTTAATTAAATTGTTTTGAATAAATTACTTATCAAACAAATGATTAAATTTTATCGGGACTGCAACTGTGACTGCAGCGCCCCCTCAAAAATGTCATCAACCAATATGCCTTTAAGGGATCTATATTGCAATTATAACAAAATTGCAATTTGCCAGCACTTCTATATAATGAAAAGTTATCAGTTATCCTCATTTCGTGAGGATAACCTTTCTTTCATTTTACTAGTATTATATAGGCATAGTGTATCTTGAGACTGAAAGTTGGTAAAATGTTTTTTTCCAAAAATCCCCGGTTTTAAGAAACTGGTCCAAAAATATGGATTTTGGAGACTGTTGAAATGTGTTCTTTGTTACTTGTTAAAATGGGCCTAGGTAGCAAATATGTAGTTCTGGGAAGTTGTACAAGCAGAGCATGCACAATGTTAAAATGACATCAATACTTCCCAATTTGGGACATGGATCTTTTATGACCAGCAGATCACATGGACAGTACAAGGTCCTGTACAGACCTGTGGTGGTTAGACAGGCTTCACACTGACAATACTAGGTCCTGTACAGACCTGTGGTGGTTTGACAGGCTACACACTGACAGTACTAGGTGCTGTACAGACCTGTGGTGGTTAGACAGGCTTCACACGACAGTACTAGGTCCTGTACAGACCTGTAGTGGTTAGAGAGGCTTCATACTGACAGTACTAGGTCCTGTACAGACCTGTTTTCCCAGTTTGGGACATGGATCTTTTATGACCAGCAGATCACATGGGCAGTACAAGGTCCTGCACAGACCTGTGGTGGTTAGACAGGCTGTACACTGACAGTACTAAGTCCTGTACAAACCTGTAGTGGTTAGAGAGGCTTCACACTGACAGAACTAGGTCCTGTACAGACCTGTGGTGGTTAGATAGGCTTCACACTATACTAGGTCCTGTACAGACCTGTGGTGGTTAGACAGGCTGTACACTGACAGTACTAAGTCCTGTACAAACCTGTAGTGGTTAGAGAGGCTTCACACTGACAGTACAAAGTTCTCTACAGACCTGTGGAAGTAAGACAGGCTTCACACTGACAGTACAAGGTTCTGTACAGACCT